TGCTTCCGAAAGTGCCGGCATTTCCTTCAAGATGCTGATGTTCGTGTTTCACCGAACTGGTGAAGTTCTTGCACTTTCTGAAGATTGGTCTCATTACCTCTGGAGGCAAGCAATGCATCAAGCTTGTTGGCTTGAGACATCTGAGTCCAGATTCAGGATCTCTCAGTCCGAATGCACAAAAATGGAAATCTCCCCAGGTGACGGATGGATCTGAGAAAAGTTGCTGCATGCACTTCAAATACCAGATCCTGGATGTCTGAGGATTTTCGATGATGAAATATCTTTTGTGCTTGAGCTGATATCGCGCAATGGATGCCACAAACTCGACCATCGGGATATAGCGCTGTCGCTTCTCCCAGACCTTCTGTTGATCTTGTTGGATGTTCTGCATGTTTGACCATGGTCCACAGACAGGTGCCATGAGGATGAGATCAGGTGCTTGTTCTCGAATGATCTCCATGACCATGTGTCGTCCCTTGGATGTCATTACGTCAAATCCCGTTCGGATGTCGACTGGTGTCCCAACCTTGAGACCTGTAAGTGCACAGCATTGGCTGAATCTGGCACTTCCTGCAAAAAACTCTAGGACGTGGATCTTCCCTTTTCGCACACAGTTCCAATGTGCTTGTTCTGGTATGGATGTTCTATCTTCAGTCATATCTTCCACGTGCATAGATCCTGCGGATGTGAGGGTCTCAGATGGTGTTGGTGCCAATGGTGATGACTTCGACTTCCCAGCGATGCGTAATGGCCGTGAGGATGCTGGCCTTGGAGTTGGAATGGATGGCTGCTTCTTCTTGGAACCGGATGATGTTCCTCCCGGATCTTGCCGTAAGGATTCTTGTTCCTCGGGCAGCAAGAAATCGACTCCAGGCTTCCCCGGAGGGATCGTCTCATCCTTTCTGACCTTAGTCAGGTTGACCTTGATAAGTCTTGTTCCGAGATCAAGTCCAACCATTGCTCCTTCTAAGGAAATTACCTTTCCTTTGAGCCAAACTCCTCCTTTGCTTCCATCGGAACGAGTCTTGGATTTGTCTTCCTGCCAGTAGAATACCTTGTTCTTCAACTGCAGAGGTTTGGAACTCATTCGGAGATTCTGTGCAAGGTCTCGCCGGATGTCTTCGGATTGACGAGCTTCTTGGAACGCCTGCTTCGACAACTGCTTGATTTGGATGGCTGTGAGCTCTTCTTCATTCCGATCGATTGCCAACTGAGTTGGAGTTGCGACATCGAGTTGGATGAGATCTGCTGGTCTTCGTCCGAATGCAAGTTCCAAGGGTGTGACACCCCCGTAGGTTACCGTTTGGTTCCTGACAGTTGCTGCTGCCTTCACCAGCTGTCGGTATGTGATCTTCTTCAATGTGGCAGGTGCACTGCCGGATTTGATTGAATGAAGCATGATCTTTAGCTGAGCCTTCAAAAGTCGAACTGCTGATTCAGCTCGATTTGGCCATGGTGTGTTGGGTCCCAACGAGATTGGTGTAATATCGAGGGATTGATAAAAATGTTCCCATGTCTCCGTCATGAAGGCTTGATCGCCGACAACGGATTTCGGCTGCAGGTGGTACTGGTCGAAGTAGTTCCTGAGGACAGTAATGTTCTCGGATTCTTGGGTAGTTTTTACTACCTCAGCAGTGAGCAACGTTGTTGCTCCATCCAGGATGACAAACACAATGATATGTTCTCCAGTTCCCAATGGAACTTGACAGTGATCGATGAATGTCATGTCCCCGAAGGTGTCCGCTCGAAGTCCACTGGTCTTGCTTCGTGATGGTGCTTGTTTTGCTGCTTGGCAAACTTCGCATTCACTTCGGATCTTGTCAAAGAGGTCGTAGATTGATTTTGGCAAGTGGAGCGCACGGGTTCTGAATCGAAATTGGTCTGTTGTCATATGATGATGCTGGAGGTGGAGCTTCTTCAACTCTTCCGGATTTGACAATCGCTTGTGGATTCTGCCTAAGGCTGTTGGCAAAGAAGTCGGTTCTTCTGCGGATGGTGTGATAGGATCTGGCTCAACAGTCGACTGGCCCTTCTTGTCAATGATCCTATCTGCGGCTGATCCTGAACCTGATTCATTGTCCTTAAGCGGATTGTCCTCGAGAGTAAAAATGGTCTTACCTTTCCACAGGTTGATTAACGGTTTGTTCGCCTGGGAGGTAAGCCTCCAATTGTCTTCAAGGATTTCTGGATCTCCACCCTTGGATGCATCAACTATTTCTGTGGTACGTTCTCGGCTGATGTTGTCAGGACTAACTGGACATTCCTTTGCTCCATTCGGTGTGAACAAAGCCTTGCGAGGTGTAATGTGCACACGGATGAGCTGCTTGTTCTTCTTGTCGGGTATCCAGTGGTCCTGCTTTGTAGACCCAATAATCTTTGGAGTTGCTGTGTCCTCTTTCGTCTCGGATGATTTTGATGCACACACTGTTTCACTCTTCGGATTGTCCCCGGAGGGAAACTTGATGCTGTCATCATCATCGTAGACATAGTTGATGAGGCCTTTTCGAGCAATTTCTCCGTGGGATTTCACTCTTGCCACACCTGCAAGATCGACGAGTGCATGTCCTGTACCGGATACTGGAACTGCTTGACGGTTCATACCAAAAGCCTTACAGGTGATCTTGTCACACTGAGGTGTATGCTCGATGGTCATGTACAGGTTCCGCATCTGGATAATGCTCAAAAGGATCGGTACAGTTCCTTGTTCAAGGATGTCGATGTTGGTACTGCATGGAGGTGTTGTGTGATATCGAAGATGCAAGGTCCAATTTACCTTGGCTGTCTCTCCATTTGCAAAAGTGAACTTGGTCTCTGCCGGAATGTACTGATAGGAGATGAGGTTCTTCATGGGTTCGATGGCCTGAGTAAAACGCTGGATCGCGTACCAACTGCCCATGGATCTGGTACATCCATTGTCCAGGATCGCATAGGTCGGATTCTGCTGAGGGTTGATGACAGGCGCCATCAGCTTTGTTGCCAAAAGGCTTTGTTTTGCTGTTGCTGTCAATGTCTGCTCTGAAACTGGATCGTCTTGGATCAGCTTCTCCTGGATGGCTTCTTTCTCAATCTGCTCAAAGGCGTCATGGAATGCCATCATCGCTTGTCCGGTGCTGGATGTCTCGTGAGATGAGTACCAGCCATGTTCACTCCAATTCCAGGATGGATCCCAATCTTGATCTGTCCAACCGGCATATGTAGGCTCTGCGGATGGTGCAGTCTGCTGGATGGCGGGCTGCTCCTCCTGTTTCTCTGCGATGGCTGCGAACGTTTTGGATTTTCCTTTATCCTGTCCGCCTTTTCCTTTGCCATTATCGCTGAATGGATAACCTTTGTTTCCATCGAAAGGATATTGGAATTTGGATTTTCCTTTCTTTCCTTTCTTTCCTTTGCCTTTTCCCCAATATGCCTGGTCGTAGGGATCCGGATATTCTTCGGCCATATTGGCCTTCCCGCCAGAACCGCTTTTCTTGAAGGGTTTGAAACCACCTCGTCGGTGATTGCCCTTTTTGCTGGATGATTTTCCTTTTCCTTTTCTTTTCTTGAATCTGAAATTGCGCCCAGACACTCTTCTTGCAATGAACGCATCATTCTCCTCGAGTACCCAGAATGTCTCTTCATCATTATTCGACATGAATCCTTCGTATCCTTCTTCATCTTCCACCCAAAAGCCTTCTTCACCTTCGTATTCTCCTTGTTCCAGGATGTAGAAGGTATTGCTTTTGTTTCCTCCTGGAGGCCGGATGGATGGATCTTGGATCGAGGTTCTGGTTGTGATGAAAAGGTCGTGGTACTGCGTCTTCATCATCTCGTAGGTATAGTTCTCGAGTGTGATGTTCCTCAATGACATTGCGCTGATCAGTCTCTCTCGCTGCTGATCGGATAATTCACTTTGGATTATGAAAAACTGTGCAATGAGGTTGTCGCTGAGGGGAAATGCGTCCCTGTGTCTTGTCTGCCTGCCGTTGAGGTACTGCCTGAGTACTTCCGGATTGTCAGCTTGTAGCAGATCTGGAGGCGCGGCTCTTGCACCGGCTGCTTGCTGATGCGCGGCCATTCTTCTTGCATTGGCATCTTGCACGGATGCTAAAAACTCCGGTGACTGTTCCGTGTGGATGGGCAACAGGTCCATCCAGGCTGACTTCAGTCTCATCAGGAGAATCTCAAATTTGGATGTGAAAATGAGGAACTCGGTGTTCTGCCTCCTGTGATTGAAGAAACTGAGAAGTCTGTATAAGTACACGTTTGTCGAGCCCTTCAGGAAGAACTTCTTCAACGTGTTCTTGAAGTAGTTGACTCCTTCGTTCGGATCTTGCAAGAGGTCATTCTGGAGGATGGATCGATACATCGTGGCATCTCCCATGAGCCTGCTCTTCAGTAACGGTCCTCTCTTGTCTGGGTCGATTGTAGTGAAGGTCACCCAATCGTCCACGAGTTCTTCATATCTAAACCAGCTGACTTTTCCGTCGAACGATGGCGGCTGCTTGGCGGTCATCGATAAATTGAGGGTTTCTTCAGTGTAACCGGATGATCGGCCGACACTTGAATAGGCCTCCATGAAGCCTTCTCCATCGGATGACATTTTGTCTGGATCGGTGCGGAAAACCCGCTCCGCTACCACAATTGTAGCCCAGTGCCAGGGGGCTTATTCCGGATGGAAACAGTCCCCTTGTGGTAATGGAATACGTGTAGGTCCCCGGATCTATTCCAGCACGGATGGATCCTGACAAATGTCCCTGTGGATTATCTGGATAAGTCCTGGTGGATTGTCCTTATTGTATATCCCTATAAGCGGATGCTGCAAGCTCCCTTTTATCCTGTATGGCTATTGCTCGGATGATGCAATGGCGCTAGTGTACAAGAAATGGGCCTTGAGCCAAAATGTAAACAGTATGTATGAATTGCATGGAAGCTAATGAGGTTCACAAACAGGAACAGGGGGTGCCCCAAAAATGACACACCCGGTCACCCAATTGATCATTTGTTGTGACCTTTAGAGCCTCTCCTGCACCGGGCGGTCCCCGATCTCCGTAAGCTCGTCTCCCACTTGGATGCCCTGCTTGGAGGCCCAGCCGCCAGCGATGACCCGCTCGATGACCATGGCCTCCGGGGCCCAAACGCCCAGGAGTCAGGTCCGAACGCACCACCCCACCGCACCCGCTCTGACCTCGCGCAACCTCCTGCCTGGCCCCAAACAAGTAAGAGGGGTAGGGGGTTCCTGACAGGGGATCGGCTTAGTTGACCTGTTGAGTTCACTGGCCCAAAAAAAAAGCAACAACTTTTTGGGCCTTGACTCAAAAGGAACCCACCAACATAAAGGGTTAAAGCATGCCAGTTCAGGCATGTCAATGGTTAGCGCTGAGCTCCATTAGTTGTAGCCTACGTAAAGGCTTCTGACAGGGATAAATGTGCTACAACCACGGTTGCAAACCAGTTAGCAAGTTGCCGGTCGTCTCCTCATATAAGTATATGGGTTTGCCTCAAGGCGGGATAGGAAGCCCAGCAGCAGCATCATCGTCGTCAAGCACAGGAAGCTGATGTCAGAACGGCCTTTCCAACAAGTGTTTAAATCACGCAAGAAAGGCAATAGAAGGACCCGCCGATTGTTTTAAGGTTGGGACGGAAATAACCTGCTAGCCACCATCCAGGGTTTGATCGTGGCTCACCTCCCGCCCAACTTCCCCCCAACTCCCTCGGCCTCGGCCCTTTGACTTGGACCCCCCTCCAAAAAAAAACAATCAAACAAGTGAAACCAAAGACTACCTCAGCTTTTGCCGGGCACTCCGCTGATTGAGCCCTGGAGGTCCAAGGTTGGGCCAAATGAACATAAGGTTTCTCCAAAAGAGAGCGTCTCCATTCTGCCCTTGCTATTTTGTTTTGCCCTTTAGCGGTTTACACCCATTCTGATGCCAAAAAAGACTTGGTTTCCTTGAAGCCCCAAGGCTGTGTTCACAGAGATCCCGGAAAAGGCGATCGAGTGCTGCCTCCGGCGGGAAGGCGGCCGGGAAGAGGCCCAGGTCCATGACATCGGCCGGCGCCACCACCTCAAAGGCCGCCACCTCCGTGGCTTGCTGCGACTCATCCAAGGGACGTTGTGAGCGCTGGGTTTGTGCACAGATTTCTTTAATCCAGAGCTTGGAACTAAGGGACTGGATGGCGTGTCACATTGGTGTCCCAGAACCAAAAGAAAGGGGCGAGCATGGAACTCCGCAAAACTTGGAAAAGACATGTCCTTTTTGGACAGAGGGCACGCCCTGTCCCAGCCCCCGCCCCCAAAAGTTGTCCCCGCCGCCTCCTCTTCAGACTCCTCGGGGGTTTCAAAGGCCAAGCGCTGGAAGGTGAGCAGCAACGGCCGCTCGCGCATGGCCCGCTTCATCTCCTTTTTGTCCATCGCCTCGGTTTGTCTTCTGGGTGTCTCACTTCATGGCTTCCCGAGAGGATGGGCCAAAACAGGTTGGAACTTGTTTGTTACCACTTGCCACACCATCTGGCAAACCCGAAACATTTCGGCGCTTTGGCGTTGACCACTCCAGCTGTGGAACATGTGGCTTAGGGCCAGCCGGCCACTTTCTGTGCGCGGCCGGAAAACAATCCCAAACCCTGGCACAGGCATACAGAAACTCACATATGTTCTGACCTTTACATGAAATAGCTTTTAAGGCGAAACCCCCCTCAAAAAAAACAAGTCTGGCGCCTCCACGTTTTGGCCGTTGATCTTGACCAGCAGGTCTCCGTCCGCCACCCCCATCTTGGCAGCCCACGAGCCCGGCCTTGAGACAGTTGTTTGGATCGCAACTGCGTGGGGGGTGCGCCTCTTCAGGGGTGCCAACCTCTATATGGCTGTGCCTTTTTTTAAGGTACCCCCTTTTTTGTGGTCTTCAAGGGGAACCAATAGGAAAACCATCATTTGGGGGGGGGGGGGTCCCCTAAAAACAAACACACCCATATATGTATATATGTATGTATGTTATACGGTATACAAGTCATACTCATGGGCAAATCCACTTCGCACTTGGGATTGGTGGTTTATCCACAGGCTCCATCCCAATTGGGATATGTTCCAGCCACAGCTGTGCCCCATGAAGCAAATGTCTAAACCAGGGGCGTGAACCTATAGGGTATACATCGCAGGGGTACCTACAGGGGCACGTGAATAAGCCCACTGGTAGGAGGGTCGTTCTGCACCCGGGTGGTGCTTTTGGTTTCTTGCTTGGGACAAGTGAACAAACACATCTGGGGGCCAGGTATTTGTCTAGCCAGGTAGTACAAACAACATGCAACATGCAACGCCAATTGGGCAACACGCAACATGTGGCGCACATTCACTGACCAAGAAGACTGACGGAATAACAACTCAAAAGTGCCCAACGCCCAACTGACAAGCACCATCAAGAAAACAACAAACCGCGCCAAACAAACGCAAAACAACAACTGATTTGCGGGTTGGAATTCTAGAATGGCCATTCATCGGTTCATTTGCGGTGCACTGCTCCAACCATCTCCAACCCAGCCAGACCCAACTGAGCAAAGCTAGCAAACGAAAACAACACAAAACACGTAAAACAAACTAAACTTAACAAACCCAGACTTAAGAAAACCAAGCCATGACACAACGCCCACGCCGCGTTCCCTCCCCCCCCCCCCCTCCGCGCCAAGTGGCGTCACCGCCACCTCCACAGGGTCTGGCGCAAAGGCGCCCGGCACAATGCCCAGCTCCTTGACGTCGTCCCCCGCCTGGACATCCATCTGGGAAGAGGTTGGGGTCTACGCTTAGGTGAAAATAGGTGAAAGATGACACCATATCCCCATGTTGGTTGAGTCGTCCCCTTTAACCACAAGGGAATCGACCGTTTTGGTGGCAAACAACAAGTTGTTTGCCTCTTTTTTGGCAATTCACTCCCGGAAGCGAGCGTAGATGCAAGGTGATCCCCTAGCCCCCGACAAGGGAATCGTGCCAACTTTCAGCCTGGTGAAAAGTTGGTGTGCCCCTCTTGGTTCTTGTTGAGGCCCTGCCAAACTCGTGTTGAATCCTTGTTTGTGATGAGTCTCTGCCTTGTTTTGGTGTTTGTTGGGTCCCTTGAGTCCATATGAACCTGCCAAATTCACCATACTTGGACTCAGGCCTCCGGATTTCCATGGCAAAGGAAGCCCATGGGCAGCTGATTTTACAGGAACCCCCCCTCCGAGAAGAAAGATAATACTTGCGGGCACCTTTTGGTGAATGCGGTCCCAACCTCCAAAAAGGGTCTCGCTCTCCCCGAATTCGATGGTCTACCCTGAAACCACTAAAGGGGGAATGGCATTCCCCCACCGGGTGAATTGAAACTGGGGGCGCCTTTGCCTCTGCTGAAATCAAGGGGCCAACATCGAACCGGGGTCCAAGGAAAGCTCCCCTATGTTGAAGGAAGTGCGTCAAGGTCTAGGGTCCTGCGCGTGAAACAAATCCTCCCAAGTCATTAGAAACATGTGCTGCCCAGTGCTTTTGTCATGGAGGGTTTTCGGCGGAAGTTGCGGGCTTCAAGGAATAATTGAATCCAAGCTGCAAGTGTTCAGTGAGCTCGGTAGAGGATACACACCGGGGAGCTCTTTTGGGAACTTGGAATATCTTGGAATCCGCACGCTGCTTGTGCCCATCACTTTGGACCAACCCTGCCTTGCACTCAAAAATCTCCGCCTCACTCGCCTCACTTCCTGGGCTCTCTGCCTCGTCTTTCACCGAGCTACGAGCACCAGAGGCAGACTTTCTAGGCGAAGAAGAAGTTGAGGGAGGTGCTGGCTGAGGCTCATCCTCCTTGGCCTTTGTCTTTTGCTCTGCCTTCTGACTTTGCTGGCTAGCCCTCTTCTGTTCAGGCGCCTCTGCTTTTTGGCCTTCAACCTCCTGAGCCTTCTCGATCTTCTGGCTTTGTTGGCTTGGCCGTTTCTCTGTAGGCGCCTCCGCCTTGTGGCCTTCAACCTCCTGAGCCTTTTGGCTTTGCTGGCTAGGCCGCTTCTCTGTAGGCTTCTCTGGAGGTGCCTCCGCCTTTTGGCCTTCAACCTCCTGAGCCTTCTGGCTTTGCTGGCTAGGCCGCTTCTCTGCAGGTGCCTCCGCCTTTTGGCCTTCAACCTCCTGAGCCTTCTGGCTTTGCTGGCTAGGCCGCTTCTCTGCAGGCTTCTCTGGAGGTGCCTCCGCCTTTTGGCCTTCAACCTCCTGAGCCTTCTGGCTTTGCTGGCTAGGCCGCTTCTCTGCAGGCTTCTCTTTTTCTGCAGGCGCCTCAGCTTTTGGTCCCTCTGTCTTCGCATTCTGGCCGCTGTCCCCTTCTAGCAGTTGCTTCGCTTCCCCTGTTTCCGCTCTCTCCTGTGCAGCCTCCTCCTCCTTGGGCTTTTTCCTCCGCCGGCGCTTCTTCTTCCCTTCAGCTTCTTGCTCCCCTTCCTCCGGCCAAGCCTCTTCTTCTGGCCAAGCCTCTTCCTCTGGCCAAGCCTCAGCAGGCGCAGCCTCAGCAGGCGCAGCCTCAACATGCGCAGCCTCAACAGGCACAGCCTCAGCGGGCGCAGGCGCAGCCTCAGCGGGCGCAGCCTCGGTGGGAGCAAGCTTGACAGCGGCCGTGTCTGGTTGCTGGGCCTCGTTGGAGCGACCCTCGGCCAAAGGCGGCACTTGCTCTGACACTGCTTCAGCATCGTCTTGCTCTTCCTCTACCTCTTCCTCTGCTTCCTCCTGCGCCTCTTCCTCTGCCTCCTCCCAAGCCTCTTCCTCAGCGTCATCGTCCAGCAGCCCCGCAAGCAGGTCGTCCATACCCTCAATGGCCGACATCCGCTGCGCACCTTTCCGCAGCCTCTGCTTGTACGCCACCTCACCAGGCTGGGGCCAACCCCTTGTTTCAAAATGCATAAACTGTTTTAACTTTGGGTCTCCTTTTAATGGGGCCCGAGGGCTGGTCGTTTAATCATTTGTTGCCTTACCCTGCGCCTCTTCCCTCGCAGCTTTGCCGCGCCAGGCGGCCTGCAACTTGACAGCAGCACGGTTGCGCTCGTCCTGAAAGGAGGTGGCTGCTGCGCACTCCCCTGCGAGAGGATTCAATTAGCGCTCCCAGCAGGCTTCCAAGCGACTGAGGGTAGCAACGAAAACAGAATACTCGCAGAGGCATTGAAATACGACAACAGGCGTCTTGGGAAGATATCTGGATTGGCACCTTTTCGCTTCGACTCTTAAGGGATTGTTTGGTGAATTCTACTCTTTCACACTACCACTGCCACGGTAGCAAATCGAAAACCGTTGGCACGACTATTACGACTTTCCACGGGTGTGTGCACATACCCCTATATTGCTGTTGCTCACATCCTGCTCCCCAAAAGGAGCATAAACCCACTTCACAGTGGGTTGGCAACAATGAAACCATATAAGCAATAATAGGTACTTCTCTCAACGGCCATATTTCTCCAGCCTACGGCCCACCTGCTCATATGTCCCCATATGTCCCCGTTTGCTCCCGAAACGGAAGCAACAGTTGGCAATGTGCTCAATAATCAACACACGGCCAGATAAGCCATGAGCCCTAAGCCCCACCCCTCCTCCAAGGGATCGGGAGGGATTGTCCTCAGATGGGATGCACAGAGGCGGGCGGGATGGCCAAAACACCGGGTCGGCCAGGACTGCTGGTGCTTGCGCCGTGCAAACGAAAAGAAAACCCCTCAACATGGGAAACACTAAGGTCGAAAGACTGGCACTGGGAGTTCTTTAAGGCCGGTCATCCCTGATACATCTGCATTCGCACATTGGATTTATCAACGTGGGAGGCACAAAGCAATGATCAGTCGCTTTCACCTGATCTGAAAATAAGCAGCGAGTAAGAACAATATCACATACCCTCCCCACAGAAGGAAGCTCCGGAATCCAGTTTCACAAAATGAGAATGTGAGCGGCACTCCTGTGAATGCAGCAGCAAGCATGGCCACATCATGC